GAAGTTGGGTCAGTAACGGGTAGTAATCAACTAAGTTCTTCATCCCCAGTTTATGGTGCTCACAATGTACAACTTTTTTATCAACCTCAAAATTTCATGATTCCACACAATTTCATCACCAAGAAAAAAAAATTTCACCACATTTCCAATACCAAACACAATATCAAATACAATCTCAAAATTCACAACTTTTCCCTAATCCAAATCTCAATCAACTTTCAGCACCAAATTCCGGTTTTCGTATTGACCAGTTAGACGATGATGAGCCAATAGAAAAAATTGTGAGTACTAGTCAGTATTCGAAATTTGATCTTGGTCAATACCCGAACTTTGATCTTGGTCAATACTCAGATTTTGATGATGTTTCAGAAGAAGAAACATACACTGCTTGTAATGATTTTGATATTGGTCAATACCCACATTTTGATGATGAAACATCCGCTGCCGAGGAAGATGTTGTTGATGATAATGAGGAGGAAGTTAAGGTTGTGAATGAACATGTTGAACATCCATTCTGTAATTCATATAACCCTGAAGAAGAAGAAGAAGAAGAAGAAGAAGAGTCCCAGAAGAAGAAAGAGCCACATGAGTATAACTGGAATATGCCATAATTACTTCAGATACCGGAAGAATAGTTGGTAAAGATAGCAGTTGATTGTTACACAAAAGTTATTCGTATCAAGAAATATGATTGTTTTGATACAAAAGAATACTTGAAGATAGCTTTGTATATGAAATGTGTGGAATATGGGTATCAACTAAAAGTTAACAAATCAAGCAAAGATCGTTTCGAAACAAAGTGTAGGATTGACAAAAACTGTATGTGGCGTATGATTGCAAAGAGGATAAAAGATTGCGAAATGTTTCAAGTTAGGACTTTTATTGATAAACATACATGTTCAAGAACCCAAGTTTTTCCTCACCATAGACAGACAAACAAAAATGTGTTGGGTAGTTTTCTGGCTGAGTTACTGTTTTTAAATGGCAGGGTATATCGGGGACATGAAATTATGACTGACATGAATGCTCGGCGAATTTGATTTTCACATTATGAATTTGATTTTCTTAAACATATTGTGCCTTCAACAGGTCTTTTTGGCCAACATAATGCAGATTGAAATTAAATAAATCAATTAAACAAAAAAAACATATTTTATTTACATTTTACAGCACATCTAACCTAAAATGCTCCTAACAACTAGGAGCTTACAGACATTGGTCAGAAACAATTCACTGTGTACAACAAAATTTAGGTTGACAATCATTATATACAACTTGCAAATGGATATGATCAGCCAATGAACTGAGATAAATTAAATTATTTAACATGTATCAACAAATGGTTGTTTATGCACATTTTCAGCACCCGGTGAGGTTGTAAGCATCTCAATATTTCTCGGCTTCAAACCTATGCATAAATCTCACAAGTGAAAATCATGTACATTCTAATCACAGTTCAGAGTCATATAGAAAAGCGAAAGGAAATTCTCACATGGTCATACTGTCGCATATCAACCACTGGATGCAGGTAGGCAACGTCTCGTATATATCTCTCTAGCCATAAAATGTCGAAACCACAACCCTACTGCAGCTCTATCTATATCTGTCGGAGGTAGAAATTTTTACCTTCTCTCGTCATACGTTCCAAGCACATGCATACAAGCGGACCACAATCCCCTCTGGCTATTGACGTTTATTGTGGCGCTGTTTCGTCTCTCATCATTGTAACTTTTAACTTTTTTGGCTTCTCGTTTCCTGAATTTGTCCAATAATCAATCGCATCCAAGTATTTAGCCAAAAGATCGCTCCATCCCCTACAAATAATATCTTTCAAATCAGACAATGGTATATAATTCAGCATACTGTCATATACTATCATCTTCAGGGATGGGAGCTGAAGCTCGACAAGAATCCAATGATGACGTTCCATAACAGGGATAAACACCTGCAATATAATTTAAATAATACTTCAACTACGCTCATCAAATAAATTTTAAGAACACCTTTAAATATGTAAAAAAAATACTAACCTTATCGACCTCCCACCACGCATGATAAAGGATACCTTTTTTACCTAACGTATATGAAGAGTCTTTCTGATCCTTCAAGTGAGTTGCGTGAAAAGACGAAGGCATAATAGTCCATATCGTCTTTTTGAGTTTCTTCAATTTCCTTAAGATCAGAAGTCGTGTTACCCATGTATCAATATGTTGTTTTATCCAAAAATACATATATTAGTGAATTTAATAAATTTTAAAAAATATATCAAAATTAATATAAAAAGAATATAATACTTACCCCCATTCGAAATAGACATTCTCTCAACCCCTAATAAACACCCCACCAAGACCGCTCAAGAAACAAATATGTATCGTCGATTTTGCATATGTCGGTGAAGCACCCCTGGCTCCGCTCATGTAGATAAAAATCAATTGCAGTCTTAGCCCAAACGGTATTATCCTTAATTGTGTCTAGTAGTGTGCATATCTCGTACTAAGGAATTGTACTGGCCGGTAACTAATACGAAAGTTATATTTGATCCATCATACCATGCACAAGAGGGGTTTACCGATATGTCTACATAGTATTGAATGTGGATCCTGAACGATGGGAGGGGATTCTTGAACGATGGGAGGAGGCTCTTGAACGATGGGATGGGTCTCTTGAACGATAAGAGCTGAATCCTGAACAATGGGAGGTGAATCCTGAACAATGGTAGGTGGATCAGGCTTCTTCTTACGCAGTCTTGGAACTATTGGGGTGAAAGAAGACGTAATGGCAGGTCCACGACGTCTGATGCGTGAACCCCGTCGTGCAAGAAAAACCCGACGTAAAGCACCTACCTCATCGGGTCACTAAAAATAAATTAATACATAAATCAATAAACAAATAAATAAATAATGTTGAAAAAACGTTATTTGCATTTTTAGTATAATATTTCTCATAAAATTAAACAAACTTACCTCATTGCGTAGAGTATGAATCTCATTTTGTAACGATGAAATAATCTCACGTAGAGCACCGACCTCGTCACATAAAACAACTACCTCACCACGTAAAACACCATTGTCATCACGTAAAACAACTACCTCACCACGTAAAGACCCTACCTCATCACGCCATGCATCATTGTCATCACGTAAAGCACCGACATCATCACGTAACACACTGAACTTATCACGTAAAGAACCTAACTCATCCCGTGGAGGTGAAGAACGGGGAGATAAATATCGTGGCATCTTTGACGGTCGTTTATCATGAGATGATGGTGGAGAAGAGGCTCGATGATGTGATGGATCTCGGTGTCGAACTGAAGAATCGACTCAATGAAAAAGTGGGGGGTGCTCATCATCCGTCCCATCAAAAAAACGCCTACTAGCTTGCCACCAATCAGTGGCAAGCTCTATAACACCCATAACCTGTATAATTATACCTATACAGATTATAGATGTCACCTGAATTTCTAAAAACCATTTCCACTTTTTCAAGTGATTTAAAATTTATTTTCTTAAAATGGTAATTGATATTATAAAAATATCATATCATATAAATTATGTTTCATTATAACCAATTTAATTCAAAAGATTTTTTTATGAATAGTGAACAATACCCGTGAACAGTAACAGTAAACAGTGGGGGTATCGATTCCCCTGTAGTAGGGAATCGGTTCCCTAAATGCATTCTGGAAATTTTGCTTAAAACGTGTTACTGTTCACTGCTACAATAACTGCTACATTAATTTCCAAAAATTACATATAAAACTCATAAAAACATCACTATCAATTTATCATTTTGTTTCCCAATTAATTCAACAAAACAAATTAAACATTATCAAATTCCATCATAGGATGTCTTACTGATATTACAATATACTCCTCGATACTTGATTCACTTTGAACTCTTTATTCCATTACTGGCTTTTTACCTACGCGTGAAAATCATCACACACTAAGTATAAACTTAGTGAGACAATTAAAACAATAAACAGTGCAATACAATTCATGCATGAATTTCAATGTCCAAATCAAAATGTCATAAAATCATGTTACATATATATGCAATATTTTACCATTTAATACCATAAGCTCGTAAGCTTATTTTACCAATATACTTACCATTTATCCATAAGCTCGTAAGCTTATTTTACCAATACACTTGCCATTATTCCATAACCATATACCATAGAGAATAACCCAAAATACACCCTGAGGACCCTGAGTACACGAGTCAAATATAAGCACCGTAGTGCTAATCCGTATGACACATAAGGTCGTGTCCACCATCTGTACTAGGTATCCTTAAGTACAATCCCGTATGGCACATAAGGTCGTACCCACCATATACACTAGGTATCCTTTAGTGTATCCTGTATATGTAGCATGCTGTGTAACATCCCAAACTACGGGTTAGTGACCAAATTGTAAAATTTCAGAATTTAGTGATTAAAGTAGAATAGTTCAATAGTTTAATGATTTATGTGGAGATATTTCCTGAAAGTTGTTAGTAATTATTAAAAGAATTAAAGGGCAAAATAGTCATTTGACTTGGAAATTATAATAAAATGATATATATAGGCATGTGGGGATAAGGATGAGGATATTTTCTTCACTTCATCATCTTCTTCTTCATCATACGAGAGAAAGAGAGAGTCAAGCTTGCAAAGGTAAGTTTTCGAATTTGTTGATTATTTGTTAATTTAAAGCTTGGATTTTGATCATTAGATGATAACTAAGCTTAAAGAAAGCTTAAGTTGTCTTAAAATCAAAAGATGAAGAAGTTATGAAAGATTAAAGAAAATGGGTTTTTAAGTGAATTTTTGGAAAAGAGATGATAAGTTGAATTTGAAACTAAATTTGACTTGTCATCAACTTAATTAAGAGATATGAAGTGATAGAATTGGATTTAGAGCATCTTGAAAATTTGGTATGATTATTGATTTCCATATGAAAGATGAAATTTTGAGGTTAAAGATGACATAAATTGATATTAAAGTGTTTAAGCATGTGTATGTGAGTTGAGGATAGGAAAGAGGTTGAAATATGACACAATTAAATTAAAAGGAAGTAATTTACGTGTATAAATGGAAATTCTGGATAGGTGCATCGATGCACTATGAGTGTGTACCGATGCACTAAGGCAATTTTTGAATATGCATCGATGCATTAGGGGGTGCATCGATGCATGGGAATTTCGAAGCTATTCTGTGTACCGATGCACCCATAGTGCATCGATACACCCCTAAAGAAAAACTGAATTTTTGGTTCCTTAAATTAGCCTAAGTTATTAGTATTGAATTATAAGGTTTAGGCTTCTGAAATTATCTCGGAAATGATGTTTATGTAGATATTGAGCCTAAACAAATTCTGGAACAATCAAAGAAATTAGGATCGAATCAAAGCAAGGCTAAGGTGAGTGCAATTTAATTGTACTTATATGATCGAAAAACATTGGCTTGCGATGAGCCAGTGACGGAGTGACTATGGTAAGAAGTGACTCCTAAAATGTTATATGATTGATATGATTCTTATGAGTGTATTTTAGTTTATAGGATTATAAGGAATTGGACTTGTGATAAGTCTATTTTCAATAGTTATAGTGTATGGAGTATTGATTATAAGGATGTGAATGACATGAAATGTATGTATACTTGATTATATAAATTGTTATGTGCTATGTGATTGATGTGATATGTCATGTGTGAAAATAAAATATGAACTATAGGAAAAGATTATATGATGTATATATGAATATAGGTGAATAAAATATGACATGCATGTTTACATGAACATATGAGAAATAACATAAGTTATGCGATACTATTTATATGATTACATGCACATGTGATATATGTTATATGATATGGATCTATGTGACTACGTGAGAAAGAATATATGTCTATGAAAAAACATAAGAACAATGTATACGCTATGTGACATGTGAATATGAAGCATCTGAAAATGTTCTACGTGTAAGTGAACTATGTGCCGATATGAATATGTAATAAATATGAAAGATAATGCCCATGTTATGTGTCATGAGATCTAGAGGTATAGTTGGCATGCCAAGAGTAGAGGGTCTACGCGGTCATTCGGGACAAAATTCTCCGTGGTCCTTCGGGACATATATATATTCTTTGGAGCATGTATGAGGTCTTTTGAGACACTTACTTGATCCTTGGTATATGTATATGATTCTTAAGAAATTTCTATGTGGTCCTTAGGGACATATTATATGACACTACAGTGCAATTTTACATGGCACTTAGGTACATTTCTACGCGGTCCTTCGGGACAAATTCTACGTGGCACTTTGGTGCAAATTTATACGAGCTGTGGTGACAGCATAGTGCACAACCTCACAGTACTCACATACCTTCAGTTCTCACCAGTGTATCATGGGCTAATAAAGAGACAATATCAAATACAATATATATATGATGTATATGCTTGTTTCTATGATACGAGATGCATTATATGAATTATACGATGTTAAGGGTATTTTGTTATGAAATGATATATATATTTCATGATGTATATAGAAATGTTCAACATATGCTTATATGATAAAAAGAAATTAGTGATAATAATATGATCACTGATAAATATGTTCATGATAAATGTATATGTGTGCATTGGTTATACAATGGAAGATATGCTTTTATATGATATGATAATATTTGCAGATGTATACTTTTATTTATATGAAATGGTATATGGTTATACTATATGTTTTATATGTCTCACTAAGTCATCGACTTAGCGTGTGATTGTTTCACACGTAGGTTTGGGAAAGCGAAAAGAGAAGTAAAGAGGAACAAGACAGGTCAGTTATCCTTACCGAAGATCAGATCAGAAATATAAATTGAATTACATGTATTTTGTTAGAAAGAATTTAGTTGGCATGTAATCATATAAAAGATTTGAATCCAATATGTTTTAATCGGGTTTGTAAATTCATATGATTGAATTTTATAATGTTTTAAATGTGTATATGATTGAATTTTACTGTTTATAAATACATTTTTGCCTCAAAATTTTATAACAAACACAATTCAATAATATATGATCGTATTTTCTTAAAATGAGTTCAAATGTTTTGATATTTTGTAAGAAAAAGGTTTTGAAAAGTCAATGTAACATCTCGGACTGGTATTCGGGTCGGGTACGGGTTGGGGTGTTACATGCTGCTGGACTCTCTGGCATGCCAACTATAACATGTCCCTCAATGACTTACTTGGGCATACAGTCTATATTATTTGATCCATCCATGGCAAAGTATATTATTAATATTTAACATTGGGCAGTTCATACCCGAAATAACATTAATGATAAAAATCATATATATTCATGATAACATCATATGCAAAAATCAATGATCAATGCTTTTTTATTTTCAACCTTTGACTTATCGCAAGTCTTCCTGATGATGTATAAAACATTCATGTATAATTTCATGCATGTATTGCACTCACCTTGACACTTTATAATTTTTCCAAAATATGTGCCTCACTATTGTCTATAATAAACCCTTTTTGTACTTGACTTGCTGCAATTGCAAATCAATCATAATATGTATAAATCACAAATTCATAATGATATATATGTTAGTATTGTACTAACATAAATATATCCCAAAATAACTCCATAATATACTTCAAACTATTCACCACAAAATACTTTAACACTTATTAATTCTTTTTAGTATTGTAACCAACTTTTCCAATTTACTCAAAATGGTATTTCACCATTTAACCACTTAAATTCTTAATACTAATAATTCCAGCATAGTATATCAATTATATAACACTTACACAACAACCCATCAATTTTCCATATTCAGACAACTCGTAATACCTTTAAAGAATCAGTATTCTGTACTAATATACACACTGGAATTTAATTTCGTTTCTTCTGTTACAAACTAGACTCGAATACGAATCTATCCATTTAAATAACTCCTTCTAATTCATTCTGTACAATTTATGGTGAATTTTCAAAGTTGACCAACATAATCTGTTTTGCAGAATCTGCTGCCCGAATTTTCTGACCTTTCCTTGGTTAAAAATTCATATCTTTTTGTATACACCTTGAAATTGATCCCCGTTTGTTTTAAACGAAACTAGATTGATATATGAACACAAATATATAAAAATAACCTCAAAATTATTTTTATATAATTTCTGGTGAATTTTCGAACATACTGCCATATTCAAAATCCAAACTGTTTTCTTTAACTTCATTCTTAGGTTCTTCATCTATTCTTACAACCAAATCTTTAAAATCACTTAACTCTTCAAAACCCATAAAACACAAAAATCAGAATCCCCTTCATCAACTCAAGATGAACTTGAACATAAACCCTAGTAATATTCATGTCAAAACGTAGATAATTGAACGTAGAATATTTTTCCTAATCACACCGAAGTCTAATTCTCAACAAGATTGCTTCAAAATTCAAAACAAGAATACCTACCTTGCAAGCTTGGGGGCGTCGGTCTTGGATGAAGAAGAAGCTGAAATTGCTCTTCCATGATTGATATTTTATGATATAATAGATCTAACACATGCTTAATAATATATCATAGAATTTTTTTATTCAACACCATAGGAAATTCCATTTTTGCCATTAATGAATCTCCATAATCACCATAAAACCAAGCCATCTGATCCTTATCATATTACCAAGTCAAATATAAATTAATTTGACTTTGACCTACGAAAATGCCATGAAATTTTCAAAACTTGCGTTTTAGTCACTAAATTCCACTGTTTCGGTTAAATCTGAAAAAATTGCACATTTTCAAATCAAATTTCTCTGATCCAAAATATTAAAATAATATTTCCAACCAATTTATAACATCCTTCAAATTTTTGTAAAATTCCAATTCGATCTGAAATATCGATTTTCTTACCGGCTTTAACCCTTTCTAGTTTTTTTTCTTTACTAAAATTCCAAATCCAAAAATATGATTTCTATAAAACTCCACTCTCAAGAGTAAATCATATATTTATGGAATAAAATTCTTTTTAGGAAACTATCACTTAATTCCCTAAACTTTTTCACAATTTTCTACTTTGACCATCAAACTTTCAAAATTTTCATTTTGGTCATTATCCAAAATTTTGGGGTATTACAAGCTCAGCCTCTGTGGGTGTCAATGTCTGTATTGGATAGTTTGCCTCCAAAAAATATAAAAGCCCAAACAAAGTCAAACGTCTACTAGTAATAACTTGTTTATATATGGTAGTATTTATGTTAACTTACATCATTGATCGTCGTATATGGTAGTAAATCTTCCCAATCCAACAGTCGGATCCTCTTCCAAGTAATATCCCTTGGAATATCATTTGAATTCTTGATGGCATAAATACGCATGCTGGGAAATGCCTCAAATATCCAAATCTACAAACAATATAATACACAAACATTAATTTTAGTAATTGTTAAATAATTAATTTTGGAAACATTATATATAAATTATTACCTTAAAGGCCCAAATAAAGTATACCAAAGTGTATTTGGAACCATGCCCACGCAAACTACGACAGTCCTCAAAGGCAGCCGACAATTTTTTCCAAGTAGCTTTCCATAGATATGAACCCAACGGAAACACGTTCCATGCATCTAGGTCATCTACCAATAATATTAAATCCTGAGAAATAGGTTGTATGCCCTCTTTGGCTAAAAAGTTGGCATACAAAAGTAACAAAAGGCATACTCTGACAACATCAAGGTCATCCATCCGAGTAAAACCATCTTTAAGAAGTAATCTTCTCAAATCGTCAACATGTAAAGTGGCATTCACCTTTGGTAGCTGAGAAAAAACCCAAAATAACCATGATGGGCGAGCGATGACTAATGTACGGCCCTACGAAAAGTCCATGAAATTTTTAAAACTTGCATTTTAGTCACTAAATTCCACTGTTTCGGTTAAATCTGAAAAAATTGCACATTTCCAAACCAAATTTCTCTGATCCAAAAAATTAAAATAATATTTCCAACCAATTTATAGCAT